ATGCAATGGGGGAATCTTCTGATAATGCCTATTGATACCAGTAAAAAGTGGCACCCATTTTATCACCACGGTCCTGTACAATGGCTTACCAGCACCAAGTTCAAGTTGATTAATTTTCACCCACATAATACCAAATTTAGCATTTTAATCGTACATTTTTTTAACCTTTTACCATATGTCTTGGAGGATGTGTGTGTGTGTGTGTGTGTGTGTGTGTGTGTGTGTGTGTGTGTGTGTGTGTGTGTGTGTGTGTGTAAATATAACTTCTCTAACTGCTATGAAGAAGATGATAGAGAAGTAGATATCTTATTTTGTTGAAGTGGTTTAACAGATTGGTATACACTTGCTAAACAATAGGCTTGCCAAACAATGCTTAACCAAAGGCCCCAACTCAAATACAAAATGTCTAAATCTCAGGTTAAACATGATGGAAAAACAAAAACTAAACTTAGATTTAGATTTTTAAACAAATGGAATGTAAAAAAAAAAAAAAAAAAAAAAAAACTTTTCTACAAATATGTTTTAATTAAACATCTATTTGAAACATTTCACTCCCCATGAAATCACTCCAGGTCTTTCATCTCAATGACAATTCGAGCTGGGCTACTTGTGTCCAGCAAGACTGATGGAGACTCCTGGCATGTGTAGCCATGTGTTTGTCCTTTAATGACCCTTCAGTGCTGAAACTGTTGTAATAGGTAGGTTATATATAAGCCCTAACCAAAAGGTTTCAATTACATGTGGGTTGACAATTAAGTAAGTGAAGTTATCATATCATGCAAAACCATGCAAACTATAATTTGTCCTCAAATTGTTCATCTTAACAACGTAAGCAAGCATTGCGGAACTACATGTAATGTCCTTCCGATATGTACCCTTTTTTTCGCATGGGTCCGGAGTGCAGTCTCTTTTTTTCTGCAGCCACTCCGAAGTCCGAACGAAGTCTTTTGCATTTTACAGCGGGTGAATCTCTAGCTGTCACTGGTGATTGTCGTTTGAACCTTTCTGGATCTGCCATCAAATTGATAAGTTTAAATATATCAAGTGCTGTGAGAATTGAGAAAATGCTACAAATCTCCACCTCCAACATCCTAACATGCAATATAGCTGACTAGCCGAGACTCTTCGTTTATGTGTACATATGTGACATGATGATGCAAAGACATGATCGAATCTCCCACAGAAATCCACCAGTACCACTGGAATTAAAAACATGATTACAAGCTTACCGCTTTGAATCGAGCTAAGGAAAGCAGATAGTTTTGAACACTGGCTGGTTATGTATTTTCTCAAATATGTATTTTAGATCATTTTGAACTCAAAAAAAAGCTATGGACTGCAGCTTTAAGCAAACTTTTAAATGTTGTCAGAAGCAGACAGACTAACCATAGAAGGTTAGAGATCTAGCATACCACTACTTCCGATGTCAGCAAATGACCAAATGTTTAGAATTCTCATGTCAAGGCCTCAAGGACGATGACCAGTTTAATCCACCGGACCACAACTACATTCATGAACAAAATCAGTGTCTTTATCCAAACAGGCACAAAGCCTTAATCTGCATCGAGACCAAGACAGAATCAAATTCAACCACAACATTCAATAAAGGTATCTTGCTCAATTTAACTTTGTTTGCTCTCCCTGGATTAAACATGAAAAGAATAATTTGGCCTATGTATCCCAATCTAGTCACAAACCGTAATAACACGCAGAGGCAAGGAGGATTCCAAACAGATTATAAAAAAAACTGCAGGATTAAGGCCAAGCGAAAAGTAAAGAAACGAGTGAGTGACTAAGCGAGAACCGGAGAGAGAATGTGTGTGGCTAAAAGAAGCAGAGATGAACTGTAATTTTGATGAATGAGAATCTAGCTCCTCACTGACAGCAACCTAATGCAGCCTTCATGGTTGGTTGGAGATACCTTACTCCAACCATCCTCCTCAGAGTAGAACAGTGATGGAAAGGACAGATGTTCAGATTGGGCAACTTCATCTAAATCAAGAAACTCGCTGCATCAAAAAGTGGTATGGTGCCACATATGGTATGACGTCACTTTTTTTGTAAAGATCTGATTTGCATTAATTGTATTGATCTCAAACAGAATTCCTCCTCCTTTTTTATCACTGGAACCGAAATGAGATTTCGGCATACTGAAAAACCTGTCTCTGAAAGTGTTTCCTGCATTACTATTCAACGGCACTACACTGTAAAAAAAAACATTGTTGGTTTAACTTAAAAAAGTAAGTAACCTGGTTGCCTTAAAATTTTAAGTTCATTGAAATGGAAAAAGTGAGTTAATACAATGAAGGAGAATGATTTAATCATCAGAAACTCAAAATTATATGTTATCTGAACTAAATAAATTATTTAAGTTGATTTGACAAAAGAAAAAATTTTGTGATTACACTGTAAAAAAAAAATATTGTTGGTTTAACGTAAAAAAAAAAGTAAGTAACCTGGGTTGCCTTAAAATGTTAAGTTGATTGAACTGGAAAAAGTGAGTTAATACAATGAAGGAGATTAATTTAATCATCAGAAACTCAAAATAATAAGTTATCTCAACTAAATAAATAATTATAAAGTTGATTTGACAAAAGAAAATATGTTGTGATAACAAATCTTGAAAACATTTTTTTACAGTGCATGAACATCACAGTACAAGCAAAGTCCAATTTCTGAAAAAAACTACTTATTATTGTATCAGTCAGAGTGGTTCCTGAATTCATTTGATTCATTTAAACTTTTTAAAGGTTCATTCAGTAAGCGTTTAGGTTGCTTAATCATGAGAAATTGCTCAAAGTGATATAAAAGTAAACAAAATTGTATTGTTACTATTAGTAATAATAACCACCTTTTGAATGGCATGACAAGGCTGGTCGTGTGATTAAAGGGTGGCACATTTGAGCCACATACAATAAACACACATACTGTACTAGCTGTCTTTTCGTAGAAAACTGATACGCTTAGGTCTTGTTCTCACTTATACGTTTTCGTTTGAAAACGCATCTTTTTCTCTCCGTTTCGGCCTTCTTTCCACACTGAGACGGCGTTTTTATTCACGAAAACTAAGCTTTTTGAAAACGCTGTCCGAGGTGGATAAATTTGAAAACGCCATTTTCACGTTGTAGTGTGGACTGTCAAAATGGAGGTATTTAAAAACAATGACGCAAGTTTAGTCATGTGACGCATATTGTACCAGTATTATTGTTTATACCAGTATTATGCCTGTTATGTGCTATACATTTTCACACTGTTGTTAAAATAGTGCACACTTTTAGCAACAGTTACTTAGCACACTCTTCATCACAGTCCTGCAAAGATGACAGAAAATGTACTCACATTTGCTATCCTGTGAAAAAAACAGCAGTTGCGTTTCAGACCAAACATATGGTGACTGAGTGCGACTCGGACGCATCAGTGAATGGTGAGATATTTTGCTAAATAAAATGATCCTGCCAGAAGAACTGCGCGATAACTTTATTGTTTATTTTTCCGTCTGTATCATAATCTTTTTTGAGGTTTCACACATGCGCAGCGTTTTCAGGTGTTTTCCAAAGGCTAGACATAGAGCGTTTTTAAATGAAAATAATAATTCCACGAATGACTGTAATTGCAGATGTCGAACAGAGATGGCGACAAAGAGGAAAAACTGTGGACTGCAGCTTTAATTACATTAGTTAACATGAACTAACAATGAAAAATATATATACATATATATACATGCATGTGTGGGTACTTATATATACAAATTAATTATACACACAACACACATATATTATGTAAACACAAACTTTTTTTTGGATGCGATTAATCGCGATTAATCGTTGCCCATCCCTAAGCAAAATGATGAGTTTGTGTAAAAAAATATGTTCATATTTAATAAGTTACAAAGTAAAATACTATAGCTTCCAGGCAAAGGTCATATGCAGTACTAGCCCCTAATACGTAACTTACGAAACTTACTTGAGATGATGTTAGAAGTAGCGTAGCGCATCACGGCGTAGTGTAAATAGCAGTACGTATGTCGCATTACTCGCATAAGTTGCATTTTACACTTAAAGGGATAATTAACCAAACAATTAAAATTCTGTCATCATTTACTCACCCTCAAGTTGTATCTTCCTTTGTGTTCAAGAAAAAGTTCAAAGAAAATCATAAAGGTTTGCAACTTGAGGGTGAGTAAATGATGACAATGATGAAAATGATATTCATTTTTTGGAGAAGTATGCCTTTAAGAGGAATCTTGCTAGTTAGCTAGTTATTTTGGTTTATAAAGTTTTAAATATTCATATTTTCTTACACAAACTCATTGTTTTGCTTCAGGGGGCCTTTCTTAATACACAGGAGCCGTGCATTGATGAATGCACGTTTTTAAACTTTAAACTAAATTAAACCAAACAGTTAGTGTGCATATTATTTAATAAAAGGTTTGTGAAAAGTAATTTAAAGTCTGTGAAAACAAGAACTGAATTACATTTTTTGAACTGAAAAATCATTCATGGAATAGGGAACTTTAGATTCCTAACACATATAGCCTATTCTCAAGTAAGCTATACAAACATGTTCAAGCGCCATGATGCCATGAAAAAAGAGCATTCCTCAGACAGTTATGGATGCGCTGACACAACCTCAATAGGACGGACAGCGGTGATCTGACCTCCCGGTGCCAACCTCATCCGCTCGAGGAACATGTCCCGTCAGGACAGATGCAGCCCAGACCACGTATGGCGAGTTTCAAAGAAAACGGCTTAATGAGGCAACAGGAAAACAACTTTATAACCGATCCAGCCTATTCCCCACTTCGTCAAATTAATCAATAACACAACCAGACCGACGCCATTACAAATGCAACTTGCACTAAAATGTTATATATCTGCCATGTTTCTGTATTTCCAATGGGGGGTTGTAGCGCTCTTATTACATGTGTTTTTGCGTTCTTAACGTCTACAGCTGCGATTGCAGCTCGAGATCTGAGAGAGAGATGAAACTCTGATACTCACGCCCTGTTTTTTGGGAAGCCCATTGACAGCAACACATCCAGACTATTTCCATGTTTGACAGTTCCTGGCCGGTTCTGCCGCTGCATCCGTGGAGCGACTTTGGCATATAGGTCCTCTTTTGCTGCCATGGTTCAGCTTTCCATTTGGTTTCAGAACAGCGAAATGCTTACTTTTGATGCGTCCAAATGGACGGACACGACACACATTTAAAACATCGAATCAAGCGCTACAGTATCTTCAGTAAAGGCTGGTTCAAAAACGCTTCATTATTCCCCACAGTCGGGCAGACTGAAGTCTTGACGGACGCGCTACAATGTTTCTAAACACAGAATGATTTGAGCTTCCTGCTGGAGCGCTCATGTCACTACAGTTTGAGAAAGGGGTCACCAGTCGGAAGTCAATCTCATTTGCTGCTCCGCGAATCGAGAACCGTCGCTGTCTGCCACGGGAAGAAATATAATTCGACGGAGTTTATCGCGGCTCGACGTAGAGTTAGAAATGTTTTAGAAATGCACGTCGCGAGCAAAATCTATCAGTACTTGTTACATCGGTTCCTTCTAGACATGACTTATTTATGAATGGGGCTTGACTGAAAGCGGATGCAGCCTATCAGCAGACGGGGCCCACCCGGCAACGCCCCCCCTCATCCTTAAAGTCGCAGTTTTCATAGGTGACGTTGAGCAGATCAGATGCGATCAGCGCAGTTCAGTGAGAAGCATCATCGTCATTGACGTTCTCACATTCAGCCGAACGGTCTTATGTAACTGTGCGCAGGTAGAAAATACTTATATTTTGGCAAGCACAGAGAAAGACGATCTTGAAAAATCATCCGTTCAGAAACCAGTGAAAGCAAAGCTGGTTCAATCTGGTTTTGGTTAAATCTAAAATTGAATGAAAGAAAAAAACCCCAATGAAAATCATTTTATTATTTTTTTTATGTTGCAGACATCATGTTGAATCTCACAGATACATGCCAATGGTAAGTCAATTTCGACAGTTTTACAAAGCTGTGCATTTATTGTGGTCCTACACTGCCTCCTAGTGGTCATATTCAAAATATTTTAGTTCTCATGAGGTTATTGACACATCAAGAAATAACTTGAAAATAAATATATTCATTCATACTCTCAACCTACGTGATAGAAAAGTGATAGTTCAAAAAGAGTCATATTGTTCAGACAACCACAGATAACATTGCTTAATTTCACAATCACAAGGAGATTTCTGCTTGAGCAGACTGGGTGGACCTGCTAATGGAGGAATGTCAGCAGCATTACATATATTGCATAAGTCATAATAAGTAGGTTTAGTTTATTGGAAGAACAGGATCAAGTAAGACATTAAAACTTCAATCAAACAAGAAAAACAGTTTTGTAATTTGTTTCCAGTTGAACAATTTAAAGGAGGTCAATAAAGCATGATTTTAAATTCTATAACATCCAATAAAAACCACAAAGAACTATTTACATATCATGAATGAAGTACAAAAGACATAAAAACACAAAGTACACTATCATAAAAAAAATCAGTGAAGTAAACAAACAACAAATGATGACTACAATGTACAGCAAATGTTTATATCAAGGAGAGGGGGATTATTTCCTGATTGGGGAACATTCATAGTACCTTCTTTTCCCCAGCTTTCATACCATAGCAAAGAATAACATAGAATTAGCCTTAGATGCCTCAAGCCATAAATAACTAAACAAAATAATATTACTTGAGTATACTATGTTAATAAAGGATTGATAATAAACCCTTTAAATTTGTTAATTTCCACTCACAAATTACTCATAGTTCAATAAATTACATTTCAATTCATTGCAGCAAAAGAGACACATTATTTAGATTGCTGAAACTAAATATGTAAATTTAAACTACTGCAAACACATTTATGATTAAAGCTTTTGGGCATCTCTATGGTCAACTAGTGTGGTATGGGCAGGGAGGCACATTTGATGTCACACTCTTCACACACAAACAGATCCTGATTTGTATGAACTTCAATAGAAAAAAAAATTGATCTAGGCAACGAATCTTGACAATTCATCCAAAGCAGCACAGGCTACACCACAAAAGATGATTTCTGTCTGAATTCCCCCTGAAACACAAAACAGTAAAAATAATTATTTTACCAGAACCACTATTGTGGTGGTAGAACAGAACACACAAATAGAAAAGGACATTCAAAATGAACTACTGCAAACAGAATTCCAATGGGGAAATCAGTTCAGCGGTTTACTATAATTTAAACAACTAAGCATGCGTGTTGTACTTACATCTCCATCATCCCCCTCATCTGCTCTAGGCTGGGTATAAACAGCTTGTGTTTTCGGCTTGCTGCAAGAGATCATTTATATCATTTTATTACATTTTAGAACATATTTAATGCAAGATATAGTATTATATAATATAAAGATTTAAAGTTGTTTGTGTCATGAAAATAAACGTACCTTTCAGCCATTTCTGTAAGGGGGGGGGGGGGGGGGTTTGCAAATTAGTCAAATCATTTTGAAATATTTTTTTAATTTCTAATAATTGTAGCTATTACATCTAATTGTTTTATTTTATAATTATTCTCACCCACTCACACACAGTAAGAACTTACTTGGTAGATATCCCTTTTTATTGGCAAACCAGAGAGCAAAGATGAGCAACCCTACTGCCAGCAAAGCCACGATGACCCCAGCAACAATACCACCAACATTTAGATCACCTTTAATAGAGAAAACCAACAAATTAGTAAATCAAGATATCTGTTTGAGAAGCAAATATCATAAATATCAAAAATCATCAAAATGTTGCTTTTAGAATAAATGGCAGAGTGGAAGTTAACGCCCATTCTCATTTAGATTGATAACTACATTAGCGTCCACACCAACACACTGATGTTCTGTTTATTAAAAGCGCACGTTGCAGTTATGTTGCCTGCCGCTTTAAATGCTCAAGCTATTTAAAGTCAAGTGGATTCTGATTGGTTGTTAAATAGTCCTGATGACACTGACTGATGAGGTAGGTTACAGTAGAGTAGATGGATACATAAAAAATAGAATTTCCTATTCATTGAATGTTATCATTTAAAACTCAAAGGCTGATTGTAACGCCAGCTGAAGCGAAAATATCCTGTGCATCTTCTTCAATCATACAACATCACCCCAACCCCTAACTGTGCTCCCCTCATCCTTCACTTCAGCACGTTTGAGCTTCTGCAAGAACCAATGAATAATATGTGAATACCAACAACCGATACCAGGCATCATGTGTACAGTGTTTGTGTCCAGACAAACAAAAACAAGTTGCCTTATCTTCTCTAAAAAGCATTCCGCCCATTCAGCTGACATAAACCACATTTCAATAAACAAAAAAACCTATCCAGTGATTAGCGCAGTGGATAAGACACATGCCTTTGGTGTGAAAGACTCGGGTTCGAATCTACTGTGAGACACCAATGTGTCCCTGAGCAAGACACTTAACCCCTAGTTGCTCCAGAGGCGTGCGACCTCTGACATATATAGCAATTGTAAGTCGCTTTGGATAACAGCGTCAGCTAAATGAATAGATGTAAATGTAAACTGCCGAGATAATCACACAAGCGTGCCGTGGCTAGACATCCGATAAGCAAACGATTGACTCATTTTAACCATTAACTTTAATGAATGGTTAAAACAACTTACTTGTCCAACACTGAACTCACGAGACCTCTGAATCGGTGTATATAAAATAAAATGAAAAAAAAAAAAAAAAAAAAAAATCAGTAACACTTCATTAGATTAGTTAACATTTACTATTACTAAACTGCACTTCTACAGCATTGTTAATTTCAATATTTAGATAGTCTGTTTAGGCCCACTATGTGTTGTTACCATTAAATAAGCGCATTTAGTTTCATTTTTGTTGAAATATTGTAATATATATCTATATATAAAGCCCGAAGTCCGACCCAAAGCCTGAACCCGCGGGTCACGTCAGGTTTGTTGGGCCGACCCGACGAGAACTCTGACTCTCCCATCATCTAGCTTTAAAATGGATTCACCACCCTGGGTCTTATGACCATAAATGATAAAATTAGTGGTTCACTTTCGTTCGGAACACCCCTACACACGGCATCCCCTTCCCTAAGTGCCTAAACACCGTTTGAAATTCACCCCAAGATGAACGAATTGCTCTCTGAGACAACTTGTTTTTCCAAATCATTTAAAAGATTTGTTAAAAACGAACAAATGGTTCATGATCAACGATCAACCCATCTCTATTACTTACGGACATCCATCCGCACTGCATCACCACGCTGAGGGGCACCTTCTCCATTAGTGGCCTCACAGAAATATGAACCGATATCCAGCTTAGACACACTCGGGAACTCCTGATCACACAAACAAAATTTTACAGAAATAATTTAAAGCTGCAGTCAGTAGCTTTTTTGGGGTAAAAATGATCATATTTGAGTATAAATACATATTTGAAAAAATACATAACCAGCCAGTGTTCAAAACTATCTGCTTGCCTTAGTTCGACTCAAAACGGTAAGCTTGTAATAATGTTTTTAATTCCAGTGATACTGGTGGATTCGAGCATGTATTTGCTTCAATACGTCACACACAACTTACGTAAATTTGATAATTCCATGAATGACTGCAATAGCAGATTTCAAACAGAGATGGCGACAAAGGAAAAATGCCGGACTGCAGTTTTAACTAACAAAAAACTAGAATTATCCTACAGTGCAAAATGACATTTAAATTATATCAATATAAAGTATAGTATAGTATATATATTTTAGTACTGAATGTTTTGACCAAAGAGCTTAATGTGACATACATATATATATGAAGAGTTCAGATGCAAAAGCCTCTAAGTGCCATTTGAAATTTTCTTCTAGAATGATGATTTTTATCAAGCTTGTATATTTAAGTTCAGTGATTTCACTTAAATGGCAATGATAATTACCTATTAATTGTTATTTAAGTGAAATTACTGAACTTAAATATACAAGTTTGATAAAAATCATCATTAAAGAAGAAAATTTCAAATGGCATTTAGACGCTTTTGCATCTGAACTCTTCATATATATATACACTCACCGGCCACTTTATTAGGTACCCCATGCTAGTAACGGGTTGGACCCCCTTTTGCCATCAGAACTGCCTCAATTCTTCGTGGCATAGATTCAACAAGGTGCTGGAAGCATTCTTCAGGGAGTTTGGTCCATATTGACATGATGGCATCACACAGTTGCCGCAGATTTGTCGGCTGCACATCAATGATGCGAATCTCCCGTTCCATCACATCCCAAAGATGCTCTATTGGATTGAGATCTGGTGACTGTGGAGGCCATTTGAGTACAGCGAACTCATTGTCATGTTCAAGAAACCAGTCTGAGATGATTCCAGCTTTATGAGATGGCGCATTATCCTGCTGAAAGTAGCCATCAGAAGTTGGGTACATTGTGGTCATAAAGGGATGGACATGGTCAGCAACAATACTCAGGTAGGCTGTGGCGTTGCAACGATGCTCAAATGGTACCAAGGGGCCCAAAGAGTGCCAAGAAAATATTCCCCACACCATGACACCACCACCACCAGCCTGAACCGTTGATACAAGGCAGGATGGATCCATGCTTTCATGTTGTAGACGCCAAATTCTGACCCTACCATCCGAATGTCGCAGCAGAAATCGAGACTCATCAGACCAGGCAACGTTTTTCCAATCTTCTATTGTCCAATTTCGATGAGCTTGTGCAAATTGTAGCCTCAGTTTCCTGTTCTTAGCTGAAAGGAGTGGCACCCGGTGTGGTCTTCTGCTGCTGTAGCCCATCTGCCTCAAAGTTCGACGTACTGTGCGTTCAGAGATGCTCTTCTGCCCACCTTGGTTGTAACGGGTGGTTATTTGAGTCACTGTTGCCCTTCTATCAGCTCGAACCAGTCTGGCCATTCTCCTCTGACCTCTGGCATCAACAAGGCATTTCCGCCCACAGAACTGCCGCTCACTGGATGTTTTTTCTTTTTCGGACCATTCTCTGTAAACCCTAGAGATGGTTGTGCGTGAAAATCCCAGTAGATTAGCAGTTTCTGAAATACTCAGACCAGCCCTTCTGGCACCAACAATCATGCCACGTTCAAAGTCACTCAAATCACCTTTCTTCCCCATACTGATGCTCGGTTTGAACTGCAGGAGATTGTCTTGACCATGTCTACATGCCTAAATGCACTGAGTTGCCGCCATGTGATTGGCTGCTTAGAAATGAAGTGTTAACGAGCAGTTGGACAGGTGTACCTAATAAAGTGGCCGGTGAGTGTATATATATATATACTCTCTAAAGGTGCATTGCACAAGTCTCTCGAGTTTTTGTAGAACTATGCCTCCTCTGGCGACAAGCGAAACTGCAACCAGAGGTGTGCACGCTCAAGGACCACAGTATACACAAGCATGCAACAGTTATGAAGCTGTTCATAACCATCAATCAAAAGGAGCATCAGCCGCACAAATCTTTTGCTACAGTCAATGTCTTCAGAGGTAATAAAGTTATAAATCTGCAAGTCATTTTAAATGTGTGAAAGGAAAGGCATTTGAGTAAATTACACACTTATGTGTGAGGGGAAAACTTTGGTTTTTGTTTCCATCTATCCCCATGTTGAACTGTTTTATGTGCTTACTGTATCCACTTATGATTGTATTATTATGGAAACATGTTCATGAACAATATAAGTTATTACTTTGTATAGGAGCCCTAGAGCAGACCGGAGATCTCTCCATTTGTTGAAAGCCTTCCTGATGGTGAGTCTCGTCTTATTCCGACGCCTGGCACTAGACAAAAAAATTTAATTTCTCTGTCTTACGTGGAGTTTGGGTTGGGCTTTGGAATGAACTACAAGGCAGTCTCTTTGAATCCATCTTCTACTTTTGTCAAAAGTTGACTAAAGTTGTGTCACTCGAGTCGTCTTCGCTAACACGGAGAATGGCGACGAATACACAAACTTGCCAGACATAGCCAGGTGAGCGCAAACGCACATGACGTGACGCCCAATCTCAAATTCCGCCCCGAATCCCTCTTATTTATTTTACTGTACAGGATTATAGGGGCAATCGCAGTTATCAGAGAAGGGCTAATTCAGCCCATCAGGCAATTGTTTAAGCATGTATGGGTTATAAAAATGGGTATTTTTAACATGAAATGTTGCGCAATGCACCTTTAAACATGTTATTTTGAATTTTCAAATATTGTAGATCAACACTCACCAGGTTACCATTGAAAACGTTCATCTTGTAGGTGAGGTTTTTAAAAGAGGGGAACTTGCTGGGATCGTCAGGGAGGGGAGTGTTGTCTTTGTACCATTTATAGGTGGGTGGGGGAGAGCCATCATTGTCGACACAGGTAAGAAGGGCGTTACTGCCTGTTGTGACTGATGAAGGAATTCTTGATACGGGCTTGGAAGGAGGCACTGTAGTGGAGAGAATTACAGTGGGAATTGTAAGGCTAAATATATTCATATATATAAATACCAAAGCTAAACATGAAACTCGAAAAATTTGAATCTTCTGCTGATAGAATACATGCCATGCCGCATTGAGGCAGTAATTTATACAAAAGGGGCCCAAACCAAGTATTGAGTACATATGCATTATCATACTTTTCAGAGGGATGATATTTCTGTATTTAAAATCCTTTTTAATTGAGTTCAAGTATTATTCTAATTTTGAATATGCGGTTTCCTTAAGCTGTAAGCCATAATCATCGACATTATAACAAATAAAGGCCCTTTAAATCTGCAGGTTAAAGGTGCTGTAAGCATTTTCAGCAGTTTGGGTGATTTCTAATAGGCTTAGCCACTGAATTAGACCACCCACAAACTTTGTGATTAGCTAAAAGTAGGCTGGGCCACTCCCTGTTGCTGTTTATAGCTCAGGGTTATGATATCTCATGATATATACATTAGTGACATCTATCAGGTAGTAATTATGTAAACACAATATGAATTACCAAGGACAGTGAGTTTGACTGTCTTCTCTCCATATCCATCATTTCCAGACACCTCACAGTCATAGTCTCCAGTGTCTGCTCGCGTCACCTTGTTAAATCTCAGTCCTCCAGAATACACAGTGATACGGCTTGCATACTGAGCTGAAAGAAAAAAAGATGCACATATTCCCTCAAATTGACATTTTACACAAAGAAATGCAATTGCAAAGTTACAATGATGACTCTGGATGACAGTAAACTTTTCATCCATACCAGTTGGCTTGTTGTCAAAGTAAATGAATGACTGAGAGCCCTTGAGATCCTTGAACTTCCATTCTACTCTGGGGTTTGCTCCAAAGTCAGCGGTGTAGGAACATTTCAAGTCAGCTCCTGAAAAAAAAAAAGTTGAATACTTTAAATTATAACGGGCAGACCTGTCCTTAGAGATACTCTCCAATAATTGTTACATTTGTAACACAAACACCACACAAATTACTATTCTTCAGTGCAGGCAGGCACCACATTAGAAGTTCTCCATTAGTAATATCTGACAGCTCATGACACAAAGAAACAATTATAAATGAAAGAAAAACAAACAGAAAGGGCAAAATGAAACTTACCCTCATTCTCCTTTACTTTTACTGAGGGATTAGCAACAGTAACTGTAAACTGGGCCTGTAGACCTGCAGACAGTAAGAGGCAGATTCAAACCTTAATCAGTAATAATATTTTTTTTAAATCAAAATAAGCACATTATAAATTGCATTCAAAGTCATACCCAGTCCCAGAGTGGAACGATGTTCTTCTGACATCTTTTTTTTTTTTTTCATCTTTACACTTATTTTGTCTATGTTTATTTTTTATTCAACAGAAACATCAGGTAACAAAAGAACAAACAAAATGGAACCCTGTTCATTTGGACAGGCTCAGAAAAGATAGCCTAAATATGCAATTCCTGAAACTATGCAAAGAGGTAAAGGTTAAGGAAAGACATTTGTGTTTAAACATTTACCCTTTAAAATGACTTTTTGTCAAACATAAAGGATGTTGGGTCACCAAGACCAAGAATAGAAAAAAAATTACAGGTCTTTTAGGAAGCGAACACATATTGATGCTACTAAGATCATTGTGACACTATACAGTACATTTGATTTTAACCCTCTAGCGCCATTGAATTTCTGGGTATAGCCTTGTTGGAGCAGGTAAAATTGACCATATTGGATTCAATTCAATTCCTTAATCACACTATGGAAAAAACCCCATAAAATCAAGTACGAAATTAACTTTTACCATCAATACTTTTCACAAAATACAAAAATAAATATCTGAATTTATGATTTATAAAGATGTTTTAACCACTATTTTTAAGACCCTCATTTGCGATTACACATTTAAAACAACTATATCTTAGTCTAAATCTAAAGAAATCTTGACAAACTAGGCCTGTAGCCTATATCATTTGAATGCTTTCAGACTCTAATTTTCATATTCAGTGACTGTTTTTCAAAAGAAATGACAGAGCAAGAATAAATATAGACATAGATTCTCGATTTGTGATACGGTGCCAAACACACACTCTTCTCACAAAGTTCGTTACGCATGTTATATGTGTATTTTAGAGATTGAATTCTGCCCAAACTTCTTCTGAATAGAAATAGGATGTCTACTTCATAAATATTTGGAAAATTATGTAAATATGTGTTTCAGATCACTCAAATCATATGGAAATATTATAGTCCTTATAGTCACCAGTGGAGCCTGTATATCATCTAATGGAAAAGTTTGTAACTGCACCCCCCAAAGAAATCTTACTTAAAAGTTCCCTTTTTTGAGATATCAACCTAAAACTTGGCACAGAACTTTTTTTAAGCATGCTTGGTAAAATATATATTTTATGTAAAATACAAAAAATGTATATTTTTTTTCAAATTAAACTTCTATAACTTTCTAAAAAATATGTTTTTACTTAACCTGTGAAGTAGGTCTGTGCTCCAAAGTATTAAATATTTGAACAATAGGCTATATACGCATAAGTTGCGCATTTGACGCAAGGATGCTCTTCAGTTTCCGGTTGGGGAGATTAAAGTGGAGGAAAACCAAGGAAAACGGGATTATGGCAGTCTTCAAAATTTACTGTCCTCTCGTCTTTGAAACGAAACTTACATTAAGATGTAATTTCTATAGTTATGTGTATTTAATATAATTTTAAAAAGAAGCATAAACACAACAAGGGGTGTCTGTTTTGTCTGTTTTTGTGACTAATGTTTTTTTAGTATAACCATGGAGTATAAAATTCAATATAAATTCTCGGTATTGCATTGGACTCTACGATCGGCGGAAGTTATCGAGCATCCTTAGACCTTCACCGGACATAGACCTTATTCAGAGCAGCGCCATGACAGGCATGAAAGTGAGGCTGTGAGGGATAGACTTACCGTGTTTCCAATGGCATCCGCTGTAAAAAGCTGAATAAAGCGGCTAGATTACTTACAATTTTCCACAGCTTATAATGTCGGGAGATTTTTGTCAACTGACATTTCTTAGAAAGATATTTTTCCAGTGTTTCATGAGCAGAACAATCCGAAAACACATTAAATAACAGTACAGCCCATTGAAGAGATGCAAGTCTATCCCTCACAGCCTCGCTTTCATTCTCATTAAAAATCAAAGATGGCACTGCCGTGAATAAGGCATATACCGCTGTGCATAGAGTCGATTAAAGTTGGAAAAGTCATTTTCGTGTCTATGCTAAAAAAGTGGGACTGAAAGTGAACAGATTAAACAGTTTTGTTTTCACAAACTTTAAAAATAACAAGTTGTTAAACTCAGCAAGACACTAGCACTTCAGAACTAGAGATAAAGAGCTCTGACATACAAAAAAAAGAAATGTTATTTTGTATTTGTACAGTTTCTTTTGAATAGCAAATGGGTCAAATTGTAGCAGGAACATCAAAATTGTACGAAAAAACATTTCAATACACATTGGCGTATTAGAAACTTTGCATGCATGTTCATGACCCTAAATGGGAAAAAAGTAATACAAAAATCAAGAAAAACAACAGGTTAAATAGTATATCTGGTAGCTTGATTAAAGGAAATAATATCTATAATATAAAAAAAAAATCCATATTGAAAAAAAAAGAAAAAGATCATTTTAGCTTCATAGGACTTCATAGGGTAGTGAAAACTAAAATAACAAAATATATCATATGTAATAAATGAAAGCCAGAAAATGATGGTATGGCAGTCACAACTGATATTCCACATTTCTTTTTGAAATTCACATTCATAAACATGTTTTTCTGACAATTCTTCAATACGTTTTCCAATTTGCCGTAATAATGGGGTTTTACCCTGTGAGCTTGAAGGAAACGTTACGTGTATAAACAAACATGATTAGAAACTCAAATAATCTAAATTAGTGAATTTCCCCGTCTAATGTTACTCAACAGGATGTTGTGGTTGTGTGCGCGCGCAGTGGATGCTACTATCAACAAATAACCGTGTCTACATCACTGACGAAGTAGCCTACTAATAACACTCAATAACAAATACATCGCACTTTTACTACTAACGTTACCTGAATCTACTGCGACTACAGTTTTGTTAATTGTTTTTATCTGGGCACGCTTCCTGGATTGCCTTTCAGCTGTCACATATTCCTGGTTGTTGAGCTCGGGTTTCGGGTGGGGGATGGGCGAGGTGGAAATACAGGTTCTCCAGGTGATACTGTCGAACCACGAAATGCCTTCTTTCACCTTTAAACAGCAACACAACTAGATATAAGCTGCTGTTTCTATTCGAAACACTAAACGTAAATTACATGAAGTGTGTATCGTACTATGAAAGCGTAAGCCTAGTTTAGCTAGGTACGAGTTGCTTTATTCAAACGTATTTCGAACGGTCCTATAACGATTTGTATCCAAATTGATTAAATAAGGTCATATTTGAGTGACAGGTAAAGTAATGTTTTCTCTTCTTGCAGACCTGTAACTAAGTTACTAAACAAACTAGCCTAGACCTATGATTTAAAGGCTAAACTCCACTATACGCAAATAGTAATTAAGTTACATTTTAATATAATAGCCTACATAAGAAAACATTTAAAGAAAATAAGTCTTAGCAACTAATTAAAAATATTCAAAGTTTATAAGCCTACTGAATAATTCACAGCAGTCAATGACAAGACGTAATAACAAAAATGTAATTTAGGCTAACGTTACACATGATTCAAGCACTGAAAACATGGACGCCCAAGTTACCTGAGACTGAGATAGAGAGGCACACAAAGACAAAGGTCAACATATCCACTCTGAAACGATAGAAGTCTTCCAAAATATTCCACTTTTCTAAAAATAAAATAAAAAATACCTGCTTTTCTAATATGTTACAATAACTTTTAGAGAGTTGTGTATTTCCTAGGCCCTCGAACGCCAAGTCAAGATAAGCTGAACGGTGAAACTACTAACTAAACGCCCTTCCGAGTGATACCGTCACGGTACCTGTGCGCCCCGCTGTGATTGGTTAGATACGAAACACTGTGGCACTCCCACTCAATGACGTAATGAAAGTAAACGCAGGTTCAAGGAAGACAAAATGCTTCTCAGAATAAACACATCCTTATTGTGAATTCCATATAGGCTACATAACTTGGTACTCACATAATAATATATTAAGGAACAAACTTGTCAGGAGAGTGGAGAACCATAAGTTCAAATAACAACAAAGTCTGGGAACTTTGGATATTTTAAATTAAATAATACAAATCATGTAAAATAATTTAATATTCAAAACCTGACACATTATTAAAAAAACAAATTGATATGTAGGTTTACATTTCAAAGGTCTCATTAAATTTAAACAAATGTGTGTGGTGAGCAATGTGGAGTAATGGCATATTGCAGTGGCCTATGCGAATGTGAAAGTATATGTGCAAGATTGTTGATCTTTTTCCTGCATCAATGTTTAGCTGGAACTCACAAAGAACACACAAAATATATTAGGAGTGAAAAGTGAGAAGCAAAATAGTGTTTTGACCCCTTTGTTTCAAAAAAGGTTATCAATTTATTTGTATAAAATTAGTTAAGTTGTCAGTATGCTCTGGAAGATAGATGGGTAGCCTACTGGAAAATGAAAGAAAAGTGGTTGCTAGTTTTAATATGATTGATGGTATTTTTCCTCACCTTTCCTTTAAACTTCCAGCATTAACTCTATAATTAAGATGTAAAATGCTTAACATTGTAATGTGGAGCATGACATGTTTTAGTATTTCCTGTAGGTTATCATGGTGCAGCAAATGTGTAGCAAATAGTACTAAAAATAGAATTGGGCCTATTCTATAGTCTTATAAAAACAGAGACTACATGTTTGCTTTTAAATACGGTGAACTTTAATTTCAACAATTTTGTCAACATCTTATACAAATTAATATACCAATATTTTTTTTTGTTTCATTTTGTTAACAAATTTTGACAAAAAGTCCTACTCCTAATTATGTGGAGGCCCCTACTAGAGATATTGTAGATTGTCTTTAAATGAAATGAAATAACTTTGGCAACATTGTGCACTCTTCAATCCACCACTGTTTAGTCACACGCTCATAAGAGACATTGTTCAAGGAGCAACGTTGCATGTGGTAAATCATGGAGTTGTTTGCCTCTCTTTGGACTCTTTCTCCTTTAAGATAACAGTCTCCTTTCTTGGACTTGTTATTCTATTTGTTGGTTTCAGCCCAATGTTGATTATTGAATGAACTACACTTCTATGTGTATGAATGTCATTCTTTATTCCTCAGTACCTTTGATGTTCTACTCTATTCTTCGTTCTGATATCCAGTTTTATCTAACAATAACCTTTAATGGATTTTATATGTATATTTTAAACTGTCTTATGGCGAGGGAGCTCCATTAGTTGTGCATATTGACAGACACCTCTTCGCCATAATCTTACTTGAGTCACCTTTTCAAACCTCAGTCCTTCATTATAGCCATATTCATATTGAAAATGAAAGAAAAAGACAATGCAATCACATCTGCCCTATATCACATTTAAATATAAATACTCATGGAATATGAATCTCTGTTACACAAAACATGTTGTTTACATATCAAAAACAATAATTTCAAAGCTGGGGAAAAAGTTACAAGGATAGACTGGAAGACAACAGATTTCATAACAACAGTATAGTTTCATCCATATCAGTTTATTTTTTAAAACAACAATTTTTTTCAATATCACTGGATTTTAAAATGCACTACAAGCCATCATTAGGAGACAGTAGGATTCAAGCAAACAAAGTATAACACTGTATGCCAAAAATAAAAATTCAAGGTAATGCAGGTTAGAAATATAAACTGTAATTTGGACTTCTAAATTCTACAAATTTTACTCTGAATTCTCAAATCCTTTAAGGTAAAGATCTTTCCTTTAACAAAGACTTGCACTCTCAGACCTGGACGAAGACCAAGTGCTTTGGAGATCAGAGGCACCAGGTGAAAAATGGATCTGGACATTATGGTTGACAAATTATTGTAGAAAACATTGTCTGATTGACAGAAAAGTTAAACAATGGCTAGTTTGAATATGTTATATGCAAAATGTGGTTGAATATATTAAACAAAAAAAGAACAGTAGATAATTCTAGTCTCTTAATTACCCATATTACAATGAAATTACATCAAATTAAAGGAAAAAATATCAAATCACTATTATGAAATAAATTCTTGGTCTTTAGAGCAATCATGTAAAATGGAATCTACACTTCATTTTTGCAGCTCTTGTTTTAACTTGGTTATTTCTAATTCCAGTTTTTGTATCTCTAGTTTTAGTTTAACCTCTTGCAACATGAATATGCCATACATTTTTTCCAGAATGTGGTTCATGGTGCTCTTGCTTGGCACAATGTCTGTCTCTGTGCTCAAGGTGACCCTCTCTGGCACTTGGCTGCTGTCTACATCAACTATATTACAAAAACAAAGTTAGCCAAAAATTAGCAATGCTAGGGAGACATTAAAAAGCTTAGTTTATTGACAAGGTTGTACACAGTCCAAACATTGATGGCGACTATCTAAAAAAAGCATAAAAAAATCAGAAACACAATATTCTACTTAGAATATTAAATAACAGCTCAAATGTTCTCTCTTATTTTTCTCTCTTATTTAAAGTCATGGAAATGCTATAATGTTTTTTTTGTTGTTGTTGTTGTTGTTGTTTTGGAACCACTTCTGGAGCAAATGGAAATATAAAAAATATATTTGCCATCATCTCCCATTAGAGGTTTATCCAACTTGACAAATTGACAAATTCTGCTTCTGAGAACGCCGAAAATGTAAAAAGAGTCCATTGATTAATTTAGGGGGCTTGTTAGTTAGTTTGCTCATGAAAATGCTATTTATGGTCTGTAGCACACACTTAGATTAATGTTTGGTTTATGAGATATGAGATAAATCTGACTCCCAAAGACACCAGAATTGAATGTTTTGGTGCTATTTTTGCAAACAAACAAAAAAGAGTCAGGGGTAGGGTTAGTGTAAGGGGATGGAATATACAATTTGTACACTATACAAATCATTATGTCTGGAAAGTCCGGATAAAACATGAAAACACAACGTATGTGTGCGCATGTTTTTGTGTGCGTATGTGAGAGAGAGTCTATTCCCTCAATGCTCTCGACTTTAAAACGTACCTACTCTTCTTTGAACCCTGTATGTAGTCAAATTTACTTAATGTGTCTACTATTAAACACATTACAACTTGGTCATATGACCATGAACAATAAAATTACTTCCTTCAAGTGAATGTTGCATGTACCCTTTGCTAAAGGACTTGTGGAAGGGCCCTTTGTGAAGAGTTTCAGTGGTTCACTTTCATTCGGAACACCCCTACAAATGGCATCCTGTTCCCTAAGTGCCTAAACACCGTTTGAAATTCACCCCAAGATGAACGAATTGCTCTCTGGGACAACTTGTTTTTCCAAATCATTTAAAAGATTCGTTAAAAATGAACAAATGGTTCATGATCAACAATCAACCCATCTCTATTACTTACGGACATCCATCCGCACTGCATCACCACGCTGAGGGGCACCTTCTCCATTAGTGGCCTCACAGAAATATGAACCGATATCCAGCTTAGACACGCTCGGGAACTCCTGATCACACAAACAAAACAATTTTACTAGAATAATATACTTTACAAGGTATAAACCTTGAATCATAAAGTGAAAAATTACATTAAAATTTTAGCAATACACAGTACCGAATGTTTTGAACAAAAACTTTGATGTGACTATAATATCCACCTTATTTTTCAAGTAAGCCATTTGTAAATTTAATGTGTCAGGCTTCCAGTTATTTTTAGCTGTACAAAAAAACAGATAAATATTGCAAAATTTTGCTTGATATTGCAAACTGGTGTTTCTTACTCTATTATTTTAATGTAGTGGCTTAGTTATAAACACGCTGTTTTTTAGTGCTTGGTTATTCACTTGGTTATTCTTCTTGTTATTTCCCTATAGCAGCTAATTAAAAGTCACATTTTTAATTAGTCACATTTAAAGAAAAAGGCTTACTTCTGCATTGAAAAAAAGGTGGATAGATAAACACTCATTATATATGATATTTTGAATTTTCAAATATTGTAGATCAACACTCACCAGGTTACCATTGAAAGCGTTCATCTTGTAGGTGAGGTTTTTAAAAGAGGGGAACTTGCTGGGATCGTCAGGGAGGGGAGTGTTGTCTTTGTACCACTTATAGGTGGGTGGGGGAGAGCCATCATTGTCGACGCAGGTAAGAAGGGCGTTACTGCCTGTTGTGACTGATGAAGGAATTCTTGATACGGGCTTGGAAGGAGGCACTGTAGTGGAGAGAATTACAGTGGGAATTGTAAGGCTAAATATATTCATATATATAAATACCAAAGCTAAACATGAAACTCGAAAAATTTGAATCTTTTGCTGATAGAATACATGCCATGCCGCATTGAGGCAGTAATTTATTCAAAAGGGGTCCAAACCAAGTACTGAGTATATTATCATACTTTTCAGAGGGATGATATTTCTGTATTTAAAATCCTGTTTTATTGATTTCAAGTATTATTCTAATTTTGAAAAATGGGGTTTCCATAAGCTGTAAGCCATAATCATCAACATTATAACAAATAAAGGCTTGAAATATCATGTATGCATAACTTTTTCAAAATATCATCTTTTGTGTTCCACAGAAAAATAACTAAATACGTGTATTTCACATTTTTGAGTAAAGTATCCCTTTAAAACAGGTAGTAATGATTATATAAAAAAAACACAATATTATATGATTTACCAAGGACAGTGAGTTTGACTGTCTTCTCTCCATATCCATCATTTCCAGACACCTCACAGTCATAGTCTCCAGTGTCTGCTCGCGTCACCTTGTTAAATCTCAGTCCTCCAGAATACACAGTGATACGGCTTGCATACTGAGCTGAAAGAAAAAAGATGCACATATTCCCTCAAATTGACATTTTACACAAAGAAATGCAATTGCAAAGTTACAATGCTGACTCTGGATGACAGTAAACTTTTCATCCATACCAGTTGGCTTGTTGTCAAAGTAAACGTATGACTGAAAGCCGTTGAGATCCAAGAACTTCCATTCTACTCTGGGGTTTGCTCCAAAGTCAGCGGTGTAGGAACATTTCAAGTCAGCTCCTGAAAAAAAAGGTTGAATACTTTGAATAACCTGATGCATAACTGTACATGTTTTTCATCAATCCTTGAATGAGCATCACCCAAAACAGGCAGACCTTTCCTAGGCTAGCCAGCCAGCTCTCCAATAATTGTAACATTTGTAACAAAAACACATATGCAGGCAGGCACCACATCAGAAGTTCTCCGTTAGTAAAATCTAACTGCTCATGACACACAGAAACAATTATAAATGAAAGACAAACAAACAGAAAGGGCAAAATGAAACTTACCCTCATTCTCCTTAACTTTTACTGAGGGATTAGCAACAGTAACTGTAAACTGGGCATGTAGACCTGCAGACAGTAAGAGATTAATACGTTAAGAGATTTATTCAATCTTTAATTATATCAGCAAGAAGAAATTCTTAAAATCAAATTAAACACATTATAAATTGCATTAACAAAGGTTCCCAATCAGTCAGTCACGTTCGACGTTATGTCAGAACTGAACTGATGAATAGGGATCTCACCTGAAAGCCTACAAGTGTAAAGTAAACGAGCCAATGGACATAGGTGTACCAGATTTGCATCGCACATCCTGCCCTGCGAACCGGGTATATATACCTTATGCACCAGAGAAACGTGGGCGCCGTCATCTTCAGAATATTGTCTTTGAACTTCCGTTTTTGCGGTCGCTCTGTATATTTCTATGGCATCGCTGTCGAGGAGTAATTAGCTGGTGAAGTGGATTTACTTATTGTAGAGTTAACAAAAGTTATCATGAGCATTGTAATGTTTATCATAAGCATTGTAAAGCAGATGTCTTAACAAATGTTGACCGGGAATTTTTTTACGAGCAGTTCATTCATACCTATGCAAGATCGCTGTGAAAATACAGACCAGAAGTCAAAAGACAATGAGCGCAGTGCTGAAAAGTGGCGGGCCTACATAAAGGTCTATAAGGAAGTGTGCTTGCATTCCCACACAAGCTTTCGCTTTGGAGTAGGGATGGGTATCTTTAAATATAATGTATTTTAATATTTCGGCTCATAATATTCAAAAAATTAGTTTATTTAAATGACGTTTAAAGCCTTGTGCACATATGGACGATTATCTCGCGCGATTATCGCCTCCATTTAACACCTCGTGACTAAACAAAAAGCGCCAATGTGAGTATGCAAACCTACGCAAAATAGCAGGAGTAAAAGCGTAATAAATTTTAAAAACGCCTCAGGTTTCCATTTTGGTTTGACGCGCCACATTTTGTTCACGTGCCTGGAGCTGCTGAATTTACAGACCTTGGTGGCGCTTAAGCACAGAACGGTCTTGCCGAGAAAAATGTAGAACAACTTCAGTATAATTTCACTTTGAACTAAAGACTGCTCATGTTACTTTCGACCCTGTCAGTTGGGACGAAAGTAACACACAGGTGGGTCAAAAGTAACACAACAATATACAAGCTAGATTTTTTGTGTTACTCTTATTTTTTTGTTTTGTTTTTTTTCCTAAATATACCAGAGTATGACCATGTAACTGCAAACATATTTTAGCCTTTATCTTTGCAAAAAAATTGTTAATTTACATTCTTTCATTTTAAATTTCAGTTTCATCAAATATTTCAAAAGTAACCCAACAGTACCTACTTGAATTATTTAGAATATTTTTTTTTTTATTGTCAATCCATTTTATATTTTTTTTTCTTCTTAATTTCATCACAGCACTACATTGCCTAGCTGAGCATTGTGGCTATGGAGAATTATAGTGAAATTATTCAAGGCAGATTAGTGTTTGGACTGAGAGATAAAAGATTGTCAGAGCAACTTCAGAAGGATTCTGAACTCAGAGAACTCTAGAGAAGGCCGTCACACGTGTACGCCAAAGTGAGCTGATAAAGAAACAGCAAGAGGAGTTGAAAGGCAATTTCAAAAGCGACATAGCAACAAATGTTGATATTGTTCATGCACAGCAACGACCTTACAATAAAGAACGAGCTATGATGAAGAGTCAGCCTAGGATGGCAGAGAAACAAACAGTGTCAGAAAAGTCCATTTCGTAAGTGGCGTGGAAGAACTCCATCTCACAGCAAATTTCAAGGCCCAGCAAGACAAGCATTCTTTGCAACCTTTGTAAGAAAAAGGGACATTATGCAAAAGTTTGCAGGTCCAAAGGGATAAGTGAAGTAAACATGACTCGTGATGAACAAGAGAGTGACATATCATTCTTAGGTACTGTGAGTACAGAGCAGAATGATGCCCCCTTGGCTGATTAAACTAAAAGTGAATAATTCTGAGGTGTTGATCAAAGTAGACATGGGAGCAGATGTCACGGTGGTTTCTGAAGAACTGTTTAAGGAGGAACACTTTGGTAAACTGCAGAAAACCTCAAAGATACTGCTGGGACCAGGTCAAGAAGGGAAGTTTTTACCAAACCTAGTTGAGAAAACGCAGCCTTTGAGAGATCTACTGCAGAAAAATAATATGTGGGCATGGGGAGAGCACCAACAGAGAGCTTTTGAGGACATTAAAAGAGATCTAAGCACACCGCCGGGGCTGGCTCTTTATAATCCAAACGCCACCTGGGAGCTGTATTGCTTCAGAGTCAAGGTGAGCAGCTTAAACCTGTTGCTTACGCATCAAACACAGAAAGGAGATATGTGCAAATTGAAAAGGAGGCCTTAGCGGTCACCTGGGCTTGTGAGTGCTTCTCAGACTTTCTCGTAGGTCTTTCCTTTCATGTAGAAACAGACCACAAACCATTGGTACCCCTCTTGAGTTCAAAGAACCTAGACGAACTACCACCACGTATCCAGAGATTGCGGATGAGACTCATGAAATTCCCTTACACTATTTCGCATGTTCCAGGGAAAAATATTGTGACTGCTGATGTCCTCTCTAGAGCGCCTGGACAAGAAGGAGAACATGACGGACAACAAAAGGAAGATGATATGAACCTGTAAGTGAACTTTATTGTCGCAAGCTTACCTGCAACTGAAAAGAGACTTCACGAAATTCAGCAACATCAGGAAGCTGATCCAGTTTTACAGCTGGTGAAAAAGTATGCCCTGGAGGGCTGGCCAGGCCCGGTTCTACGGGGGTGCTTGAGGGTGCCAAGCACCCTCAAACAAAAGTGAAAGCACCCTCAGATTCAATTTTTATTAGCACACATGTAAACGAGATTTTGGCGACAAAAGAAACACAGACAGATTTCACACTCATAGCCTACATATGTTACACAAACTAAATCCATTACTCAATTTTTCAAATCAGAAATGGATATCGAGCATAACATTTAACATAACAACAATATTGTCGTAGACAAGAATCGCTCGGCCCTCTTTTGAGCACCCTCAATATTTTCAAAAGCACCCTCGTTCTAGAACCGGGCCTGGGGCTGGCCGTCTAAAAACAGAGTGGAAACCATGGTGCAGTTCCAATTTGCTGGGAATTAACCATAGAAAATGGACTGCTGTTAAAAAGCTGTCGACTGGTGATTCCAAAATCACTACAGATTAATATCCTAGAGAAATTGCACATTGCACACCGGGCATTGCAAAGTGTAGAGAATGTGCCAAGCAATCAGTTTGGTGGCCTGGTCTATGTGCACCTTCAGTCAAAGTCAAAGTTGGAGAAATATGAGTAACTTCTCCTCAACGTGCATGCAGTGTAAATAAAGCAGTTGCATCAATGAAATGATAGTAAAGTTAGTCCACGGCCACACCCCCGTGCTAATGGTACCGCCCACGGCGCAAATTACAAGACGAAAATTAGAAAATCAGTTTGATTTCATTTATTCAAATGTTTGTTTCTGAAGTCACAATTTAGCACAATTGAAATTGAAAAAAAGGAGAAAAAGGCAACTATCCATTGATAATGTCATTGGGAAAAACAAGAAAAAATGAATGTCTGGTTTCCATTTTTGCATTTATGGTCCGAAAATTGAATCGTGAAGCGTTACACAAACCGGACCCAACCCTCTAATGTCAGAAAGTTTATTTTTAAACCAACCTTCTAAACATCTTCAATGTGTGCTTCTTTTATCGTTGGATATATAGGCTATTTAACGATATGCATTTCTAACAGCGTCAAACTTGGCACAGCACTCGTGCCCGTAGCAAGACATCTGTCAAGTTTGAAATATGCGAACAGACAGACGTTCCGGTAATTTATAGACCTATGAATTCACATTCATTCAAAACCGTTTTTCTGACAATTCTTTCAATCATTATTTTATAGGTCTGTTTCCCGTCTGCTCAAGATGTTGTGTGCGAGCGCAGTATCAACTTTGTCCGCGTCACCGGCTGGGTATGGGTACCTACCAAAAACATCACACTTTTACTTTATTAATCTACTGCGACTGTTAACTGCTTTTATGAGTCTCTTTCCAAACACATTTCGAACGACTCGGTTCGAGTTGAATATTCTTCAAATGGTTCTTCAAATAGCCTATGTGCGTTTTGGTTTTAGTGGTTCAATTGAAGATTTAAAGGACATTTCATTTGAGTGTCATGTTTGATGTTCTTGCAGGCATGTATAGGCATACTATACTAAATAAACTAGCTATTTAAACGCTAAACCTAAACTCGACTAATAGGTCTATATGTATTTAATAAATAAATAAATAATAGCAGCCAATAAAGATTTTAAAGTTTGTACTGAATAATCACAATCTTTGAAAACATGGACACGTAACTTAGCCTACCTGTGACTGAGAGGCACACAAAGACGAAGGTCAGCATATCAACTCCGAAAAAAAAGTCTTCCAAAATATTCCACTTTTCTAAAACAACAAAAACACCCGATTTAATATTGTTACTGGAACTTTTAAGGAGCTGTGTATTAGCCTAAGCCCAAAGCTATAAGGCGGCTTTAAACTAATGCCCTGTCGAGTCATAAACATAACTCGTCATTTATCTGGTCATTGTCCGCTTTGCCCCTTGCTGCCAGAAGGGGGGGGGGGGGGGGGGGGCACACACACGCTTTTTGATGCACCTGAAATATTGTATTAATATAACGCTATGGCTATTATTGTAGACTATTGAGTGAAGTAAAGAGTAAAGTAAAGTATGTAGAAATTCTTTTAATTAGATAGGCTATAGGCCTATACATACTCCCCAAGGTGAGAAGGATATTAAGGGTCCGGGTGCATGCTCCCCCGTGAGAAAATTTCAAATATTCCATATTTTAAAGCATCAATCTGATGCATTTTGAGATGCATTTTTTTTTTGTCATTTTATGCGAAAGCATACAGCTTTATCTACAGGGCAAGTATAATAATAGTAACAGGGAATCGTCTTGGAGAGAGTTTCATCATGTTGACTGTCGTAACCGAACGCGACGCGCTGTTTGATGCTGAATGGAGAATGAATAGCAGACAGCCGCAGAGGAGAGAGAACTTGAATTTTTTAATGTCTTAAAAATTAATTTGATTGTTTTTGTTGATTGATAAAACTGATTTATTACTTGTCCTAAACTACAAAGAGTAAGATCAATCCCCTTAATGGAATCGATTCCAACCTTTGCATGTTGAACCTTTCGAATCGACTCTCAACGCCTCGGAATCGATTCTTTTTGGAGTCGATCAACAGCCCTATCATTCAGAGGCGATGCTTCGTTTTTCACCGTTGCTTTGAAAAGTGTATTGCGAGAAGTGTATTTTTTTAACTAGTTGGTGTGTAATGTTGCTGTTTGAGCACAAATAACATCTGCAAAGTTATGTCGCTCAAAGTTCAAAGCAAAGGGGGATATTTAATCACTTTTTAAGGACTACAAAAGGCTAGCAAGCTTCGAGTGACATCATCACAAAGGGTTAGGGTTAGGGCTAACCCTAACCCTAATCCACCAGCACCAGGCTGGTTGATTATGTATTTTATCAAACCCCAAAAAAGCTACAGATTGCAGCTTAAAAAAAATTTCTGAGGGGTATTTTGAGCTGAAACTTCACATACACACCCTGGGGACATTAAAGACTCATTCTGCATCTTGTAAAAAGGGGCATTATACCCCTTTAAGTTAATAGATATGTTTAAGCAACGAGCCCCAGATATGCCATGGATATTTATTTGTTTGCTTACATTGTATCTTAAAAATGAAAGGAGGTAGCCTACTTCTGATCAAAATGAGGAAATTGTATAGTGCAGTTACAACTGAAGTAAATTGATATTAATTTATTTAATTTTTTTTTCACATTTAAGGAAAGTATACTACTCTTCAACCATATTAAAATAGTATATTGACACACACAGCATGTTATCTACTAATATATTATTCTGTATATTGACTGGAGTGGACACCTCGTCCAGTTGTTTATTGGGAAAAAACAATTCAAAATATGACCGTTTATCAAATTGGTTACTACGAAATTAGGCCCTATTATAGACCGATGCACAGGTGACTGTTCTTGAAGACTTATAGTTACTAAATAAACTCTAATTTAATATATATACACATTTTACTTTATGCGGTAGTATGATGATGAACTAATTATTCATTTACTAAAGAGAAAAACTATGATGGAAACTGTTCCCAAAAAATAGTGAACTAATTTTCAAAATTCAGACTAAATAATTTATTGCAGACAGAACGTAATAAAATATTTAAACACACTGAAAACAATGACAAAAGTTAACTTGTCTACTCTGAAAATAACTTGTCTACTCTGAAATTATACAAACTCTTCAAGAGTAAATGTTTCTTTTTTAAAAATTATATCTGGTTTTATATTGTTTGTACTTTATTACAGTTGTTTATTATTACAGTTTATTTTATTACAGTTGTTTATGTCCTCTTAAAAGTCAAGAAAGATAAGCTGAAAGGCTGATAGGCTAATATGTTCCCTGTGCCGTGTGTGATTGGTTGGACACTCCCGCTGCATGACGCGATGAAAGTAAACACAGTTTCGAGGTTAGACAAATAATTTGGAAATCGTACTCAGAATGAACCCTGTTTAGGAGTCCAAACTTTTGCCAATAGGTCTTTAACTCACATGATAAGGTATGGAACAAACATGTAAGTGGAGTGGAGAACCTTGTCAAATGAGGTCTTGTCAAAAAAAAAAAAAAAAAAGGTTTGGAGATTTTGGATATGTTTTAATTAAAATGAGGTGTAAAACTTTTAATAAACAAAATCTAAGAAAAAACTTTGTTGAAAAAAAAATTAAAGGGGGGGGGGGTGGCTATATATTGAGCTTTCTGCTTATCATCAATGTATTTGTGCAAGATGAAATTTGTGCAAGATGAAACCAGCAACACACTTCTTCCTGACAAACACAGAATAACCACAGTGTGTAAATGTGGTGAAGCATTTTCTGTCAAGTATGGGATCAAATCAGCTGTGTGGAGACTGGTGACCACAGTACAAGTAGTATCAAGATATTCGTTTTAGTCTTCAGAAATGTGTTTTCTGCTTTCAAATATTAAGGTGAATATTGTGAACATTCTATTAAATTACAGCAATTTGTCATCACTAATTTATCTGTTTGTACTCAAAGGGTTATTTAATAAATAAGATACAACTACAAAATCCCAAACCATAAATATATTTATGAAAACAGCCTTGTGTAGCAAATAAAGTCGTTTATAATAATAAATCATAAATAAAATAATTAATAAATAAATCAAATAATTGATAATAATTTATTTTCTGGACAATGTAATTTGCCTTTAAATTACATTATGAATTCAATTAATAAATTCCAAAGTATTTGGATATTCACAAATCTAAATTCTAAAATATCTCAAACTGCGACATGAGAGTGAGTCCTTAAAGACATTTCCATTTTTGGCTGAACTAACCCTTTAGTTCGAGGCCCACAGAGAAGGAAATGAATAGTTGAATAAAGTTGTTATTTTTGTTTGTTTTTTGCGCACAAAAAGTATTCTCGTCGCTTGATAAACTTAAGATTGAGCTACTGTATTCACTTGGACTATTTTAACAATGACTTCAATAACTTTTCAATTTTCAATCCCTTAGACAACCCTTCCCAACTCTCCCAATGTACACCATGGCTCTTGATAAGAGTAATATGGGAACCTGCTGTATTAACATACATTAGAACAACATTGGCTGCTTTGTTAATAATTTGTAATTGTTTATTTTGGATATTTATCATTTAAAATCAGGTTTCAGTTCCAACAAATCTGTGCACTTGTGCTGGTTGACCAAGACAGGTAATTAAATCAACAAACTTACCCAGAGTTTCCATTTAAAATGTCAAAATTGTTCTAAGAACCTTTATAAGAGGTTCAACAAAGACAATGTTATGTAAAAAAAAATGTGTGGAAATTTACTGGTGATGTGTACTTTTCATAATTGCAATATAAATGACCAAAACTGGTCCTAGTTGATTGTCCAATGCGTAGGAAATGGTTTTATCAACAACTACTGACTGAATGGACATATTTTTTTATTTTTTACTTAAAGAACCCAATGAATGTCAACAAATTAAACAAATTCCAAAAACATACCTGAAACACCTCCACAGTAGTTCTAAAAAAGTAAAGTCCTTCTTTAGACACAGATCTACAAATATACAGATCTGACAATTATACACAATTTCAGTGCATTTATAATACCAGATCACCTTGAAAAGAATCTGAAACAATCAATGGCTGTATGTGTAAAGTCAAACAATAGAAGAGGGCAAGAGAAAGTTTGTGTCCACCATGAGAACGATTTCTTACACGTGATTTCAAACCTGTATAAACGGAATTAATGAAAAGACCACAGCCTGTGAATCTTGTATAGTGGATCTGCAGTTGTTCACTGAGAGTCCATTGATGCCGCCACTATGCCGTGCTGTCTCAACTGGTTTCTGATCATCTGATTCTTTGATTTCCACTCTTCCATCTGTGTGTGGGTGGAAGTGAGGGATTAGAGAGAGAATGACCGATTAGAAGAGGTAAGAAAAACTCTATTTTCCATTCTCTTCAAAACATCCCACCACATAAACTAAATGTTCGACATTAGAATTCCTATTAATAGCAGCAGTTGTTGTTCTTGTGTTTCTAGAGGAAGTGTTAGTAGCTGGTATTCATCCTGTGTTGTTCATTAATTTACAAAACACTTGATAATAAAAATACACTTGGCAAAATCAGTACGATGAAATGAAATAAAATGCTCAGATTGCTCTCTAAATTGGAGTGTGAAGCTTTTGCTGGCACATGAAATACCTCTTGTTTGAGAAGCTGATTGTCCAACCTCAATCTATCCACAGTATTAAGCTCCTCTTCCAGTCGTGCGTTGCTCTGACGGAGCTCCTGGATATAGTCACATGCCTTCGACAGGATCCCACCTTTACTCTACATGGAAGAGCAAACGAAAATCTGAATAACTAGGACTCTCAATCTATTTTCATGTTGGTGCACAAGAATTTTGATGTACAAGGAACTGTCACAAGTTTAAAAATACAAAAAGACAGAACTGCGAGGTGGGTGGCTCGTTTCAATGCGAGTGCTATAGTTGTCAAAAAAAGTATCCGTTTGATAACAATCAAGTAAATTATATTTGAAGAGTTCAGATGCAAAAGCCTCTAAATGCCATTTGAAATTTTCTTCTTTAATGATGATTTTTATCAAACTTGTTCAGTAATTTCACATAAATAACAATTAATAGGTAATTATTATTGCCATTTAAGTGAAATCACTGAACTTAATTATACAAGCTTGATAAAAATTATCATTCTAGAAGAAAATTTCAAATGGCACTTAGAGGCTTTTGCATCTGAACTCTTCATTTACAGAAGGTGTATGTAATTGGTAGAAGAACAAATATGTCAAAGGGCAATACCAACAATACTAATGTGTGTCCAGGAATGTATTTATTAATTATTTTTTTAATAATTTTTATCAGTTACAGTCATTAGATCTCGCAGAGATATAGTAGTG